TCAGTGAGGCTCCTAAGAGGGGCTGGGAGAAAATTTCTTAATGCTTACCTAGCAGAATAAATATCTGAGAATAGATAGGAATAAGAATGAATGCTCAGTGAGGGTTACTCTCTCCACACAATATCAAGCATTTGTGATAAAGAAAATGTGCTGTAGGTAGAGGATCGACTGATAGGTCACTAGCGCCTGACTGATGATTTAGATCCTATCTATTTGTATATAAGGAAGTTGTGTACATAAAACTGAGAGTTCATTCAAAACAGTGCAAAGAGTAACAAATTTAGCAAGTGGTGCTGACATACTGGACAAGAATAAGATTCAATCTGTTTTAATAGCTACCAAATAAATATCAAATAGAATAAACACTTTGGTAAGGAAAATAAAAGCAACTAAAATCTTGCAAGAATATTTAATAGAAAGTAATCATATTTGGATATCCTGGAACCATAGAATTAAAGGCAAAAACAATCACTGTGTGGTAACAGTTGTCATAAATAATGGTAGTAGGCAAAGATTTGGTTCAAATATGTCCCTGTTGACAAAAGTGTTCTAGACATCATATATAATTAGGTTTTATAAGCTTTTAGATAGACAAATATTGGACAATACATATTAATGGAAGATTTTAAAAAATATTCACAATGGCTTACAGCATACAGATGGAGAAATGTCTTAAATCAGAGAAGTGCTAGCGATTATTTAAATCTCTAAAGAGAAAAATTGTCAACTACTGGAATGATTACAGAAAAGAGACTATTCTCTTAGGTTGCTAGTAGAAGTTAGAATTGTTCCATCCCTTCAGGAAAGCAAACCAATGAGGTAACGTGTATACCACACATACATTTTAATCCATGTGTGGTGCTATAACACAGTACCACAGACTGGGAAATTTGCAAAGGATAGATATCTATTTTCTTATATGTGTTCCAGCTATGACATTCAAAGTGAAGAAGTTCTGTTGTTTAATTGTCTATTTTCTACTTTCAAGGTGTTGTTTTTTATTCTGATCTTCAGAGGGCGAGGACACTTTATCCTCACACGGCAGAAAGTGGAAGGGCAGGGATAACTGAACACCGTGCAAAGCCTCTTTTAAGCGAACCTTAACCCCACTAATGGGGAGAAGCTCTCATAGCCTAATCAGCTCTTAATGATCTCACCTCTTAGTGCCATCTTCAAAAGGGAGGGGACACATTGTAACCTTAGCAATATATATCTTGACCCAGAAATCTCATTTCTTTTTTTGGTACTGGGAATCGAACGGAAATCTCATTTCATGAAATCCATGTAAAAAATATGGTTTTATTTTCATAAGCTATGAAATAGCTATGTGCATGTATTTGTGATTTTTACCTTATATTATTGAAAGAAAAGACAAAACATTATTGATTAAAACAAAGTGTCATTTCACATAATACATAGCAAGAAAATATGATGAGATTAAAATAGGATACAAGGCATTTTTTATGACTTAAAGAAGAGCTCTTAAACATTACTAAGCATCAGTGGTGTACCTATATCATTTCAGTTTACACCTAAAAAGGAAAGTGTAAATGAAATGAATTTGTCCACGTTTTACTAAAACGTCTTCGTATCCATGGTAGGACTTTACTAAATCCCTTTTCAACTTGATAGTATAAATATATTGGAGTTTTGTAGACTGTCTTATCTCAAATTGAGAGTACTGGTTTTTCTTTTCTTTTCTTTTTTTGAGACAGGGTCTCACTATGTAGTTTAGGTTGGCTTTGGACTCACTGTGTGGTCACTGTGTGGCCTTGGACTCACTAAGCCCAGGTTGGCCTTGAATTTGTGACAATTCTCCTGCCTCAGCCTCCCACCTGCTAGGATTATACTCCTGATTTTCCTTAAGTGAGTACTCTAGTGTGTGTGTGTGTATATATACATATATATATATATATATATATAATTGTTTATATAGTATTATTTTTCCATATGATATATATTGGAAAAAATTGTGGTCAGGTATACAGTAGTCTCTTACACACTGTAAAAAATGCAATATCTACAGCAGTGCTGCTACATGAAGTAGACATAGAAGTAGGCATATCAGAAAGACAAGGAATATGTTTCAAAAAATCACTAGCTGTTTGATTTAACACATTTTTCTGTGTTACTATCATTGTGTTTGTGTACTCATAGATAAAAATTTCAGAAACAGTTTTTAATGCAAGGAAAGAAAGTGGGCCCAAAACTTTACATTTTTGCTGTAATTTCTATGTGTTCTGCACAATTGTAGATGTTTAAAAACATTTGGAAGGATTCGATGAAGAAGCATATAATGTAGTTTTAGTTATTGAAGTTATTGTATCAGAGTGTATGACATATAGACAATGTTGGTTTTCTTTGTTTCTTGATTGCCTTGGTGTAGAATGTGTCATTCAAGATATTCCACACAGAAAAGCGGTTCCATGAGTTTTCCAGAGAAACACTTCAATATTTTTTAAGATTCACATTGTTTCGTGGCATCCACAGTAAAGGATTTTATTGTGCTGGTTGTTTTTTCTAAACATTTGGCGAAAGAACCCTCTGTTGGACTATTGTAACAACCCTGTTGTAAGACTATTATCTTTCAGAATATGTGTTCCATGAAACAGAGAAATTGGCTTAGATCACTAACAGATACTAGAAAGATATGGGCATGCCCTTTCACAAATCTCTAGTGCAGAAAGCTGAGATTTTTCTTGATATTTTAGGGCAATGATTTAGGAAGAACTTGCTTTATATCCTTAAAATACTTTTTTTTTTTTTTAGCTCTGTCTCATCTTGACCTAGTGAGCAAAATATTTAAAAGAAACAGACACAATGATGCCCATAATAAGGGAGATATGCATTTATATGCAGGTGGTAAAGTTTTACCAGTAATTTCTTTGCTAGCTGTATTATTTTTAACAGGGCTGAAAGATTCTTTTGGTGATCTAAGGAGGAGTGAATCATGGCTGAGACTGTATGAACGGCCCTCACAGGAAATAGAAACTTTTGTAGTTTTTCAAGCCTTGGCTTTTAAAAGGCCAATCAAGCTCCATTGACAAAGAAAAGTAGTATACTTGGGCTTTTGTGATAAGGGCTAAAAAATGAAAAGTTTCCAGAGAGAGAGGTCAGGGAACAGAAGAAGCTGGAAATGGTTTTTCAAAGGGAGAATTTTTTTTTTGGGGGGGGGCAGGGTTTTCCACCTCTGTGGCAGCCATGCAGCTCTTTCCTACGAAGCGGGGTGGTGGAACGCTCTGAAATGGAGGAGTGAATGGGCAGCCACATCTGGCACAGCTCCAAGGGGCCTCTTCGGGGATGGTTGAGTCGGAGGGTAAAATCGGAGACAGGTTTCTCATCACACTGGCCTGCGTTCAACATGAAGTGACTTAAGCCACGTTTCTTCAGTGTCCACACAGTCTTTTCTAAAGCAGAGGCCCATCTGTTAGTAGACATAGTGTGATTCTATTAATCTAGTTAAAAGCAGTCAGCTGTACTACTGTCGTGGCTTGAATGTTGTGCTGCCTTGAAATTTTCTCTACCAGATCACTTAGTTCATTACCTCAAACAGTGTTTTAGGGTATAGAGAAAATCTGGATGAAATATTCGCCAGAATGTAGCACATATGACCTGTAGGTCCGTCCCCACAGGGGTCTCATTCTTATCTGTAACCTCCTGAGCACAGTCTTCCTCCTCACCTTCCTTCCTGTCAGTATTCTGGTCTCCTGAGCTCCCACCCAAATCATGCTGTAAGCTCCGCCTGAGGCATTCTAGGGCTTCTTGAAGTGGATCCGAACTGGATAGTGAAGATGTGGTTTTTCTCTAAAATGGAATACTACTCAGCCACAAAGAATGAGAAATTAGATTGATTCATAGGAAAATGGATACCTATTGAGGATATACTCCCAAGTGAAATAAATACGTCACGCATGTGTAAATACTGAATAGTTTCTCTGGTGTGAAAAACTATAATAGTACATAAGATCCTAATGAGATAATTGACCCTGTGAAATAGGAAGAAAGGGGCTAAAAGTGTAGTGGAAGTGGGAAGGGTAGGGGAAAGGTAATAAGGGAAAAGAAAAAAATAGGAGAAAATGAAAAAATGGAAATAAAATATTTGTAAATGGGGAAGGGAGGGCAGGGACAAGGGGAAAAATGAGAACCAAGACCTGGCATATAAAGGTACAAGATCCCAATAATGAATGTAACTTTACTGTATACCTAAAATGTACCAATAAACTCAAAAAAAAAAAAAAAAAAAAAACCGTCTCCAAACCTTCTAAATGCTTTCTAGCTCCAAAGGCTTCTGCACCATATGGTCAAGTACAGTCAGAGCAACAAGCGAACTTCTCTGATACCACTTTGCTTTATTAACCATCTTTTTTTTTGGTACCACGGATCGAACTAGGGTCCTTGCACTTGTAAAGCAGGTGGTAGAACCACTGAACTAAATCCCTGGCCCTTATTAATCGTCTTCTGGATTGCTAGGACACAATAACTGACATACACAACTTAAAGGAGAAAAGAGTTATTTCGGCTCATGTTTTCAGAGGTTTGAATGGATAAATGATTGGCTCCTAGGCGGCGGTGTCCTGGCGGAAGGGTGTGGTGGGGGTGGAATCTGCTCGCAACAGGGGAGCTAAGAAGTAGAGCATGGGGGAGCCAGAGAAAGGGAGGTCGGGACAGATGTGGTCCTCAAGCTCACACCGCCGTGACCCGCCCAGATAAGCACTTGCCAGTCCAGTCATTTACACGCAGGATGACCAAAAATTGCACATTTTGGGTTAAATTTTTATAAAATAATATAAGAGGAAATATAAAAACAACACTTTTATCAATCAGCTGGTTGAAATGCCACCTTCCTGAGCACAGCTCAAGATGGTCAGAACTTCAATGTGCTGCTAGAATGAGGCTCAGGGTAAATCGTTAAGTGGATAAAACTCAGAAGTCTTTTTGTTTTTCCTTTAATCTCTTAGGGATCTGTCAAGCCAATGGAATTGACAACCAGGATTATCCATCACAGAAATGAAATTTCGAAAGGAATTCTGGACAATTTCGTACACTCTGTACTTTGAAAGAAAGAAGTAAGTAGAACATGTTGTTTTTCCTTTGGTAGACTAATGGTGTTAAGGACAAATTTAGCTCTCAATGTGTAAATGGAACTTTATACTTCCAACCATGATTGTCATTACTATAATTTTCACATATATTTAAAGTTAAAATCACCACCAATTTGCCAGAGCATATCATTCTATGTTGAAAAAAAAAATCAAAGCACAAGTAGTACTTGTTCGATGTTTTCAACTTGCCCTCGTTGGCATTCATTGAAAGACAATGGATTTTTTTAATCATTTTTTTTTTTTTGGTACTGGGGATTGAACTCGGGTCCTTGTGCTTGCAAGGCAGGTGGTGGAACCACTGAGCTAAATTTCCAGCCCAAAAGACAATAGATTTTTGAGTAAAAAAGACCTAAATTCAAGTTATGAATCCCACATCTCCTACCTCTGTAACCACAGACCAGTTACTTCTGAAACTTCTTTGTAAAGAAATGGAGACCATAATATGCCTAGAGAAGTTGTGGGGTTGCATGAAATAGAAAAATACCTTCTCTCTTCAAAAGGGTGGGCAATTCCTCATTCATAAGCATGAGACCATTTTCTGACAATAAAACAGACTCCGGGAGTCTAAGTCAACATCCATGATTCCCAAAGAGTGTTCGGAGGCAGGCTACACCAAACTCTGGGAGGTGTAGCAGGACATTTGTAATTGTTAGAAAAATGCAATGTTTGTCATTAAGTGAAATAAATAAAACACACACGAAATAGCTTCTCCCATGTGAAAAACTAAAAATGTAAAAAGATCCAAATTGTATAATTGATAATATGAAATAGGAAGAAAAGGGCTAAAGGTGTAGGGGAAGTGGGAAGGGTGGGGGAAAGGAAATAAGAGACAAGAAAAAATATGAGAAAAGGAAAAAATGGTAACAAAGTCGTTGCAAATAGGGGAGAGGAGAGAGGGTGAAGGGAGAGCAGTGGTACGGGGAAAAATGAGAACCAAGATCTATCATGTAGAGGTACAAGATCCCAATGATAAATGTAACTGTACTGTATACTTAAAAATACCAATAAACTCAATGAGAAAAAAAAAGAAAAATGCAATGATATTCGACATGTTAAACACTGTATGAATTGCTAACTTGAAGTAACTCGCATTTCCCAAGAACCACTGCACAATACTTTTGAGTGGTATCTTTTCTTAGGGAAGAGCTGCTAAGTTGCTACAACATAAATGCTTTTTAAATTGGATCTAACTACCTGATAAAGACAATTATTTGCCCCAGAATTCCTTACAGGAGATTTCTTGTGAATACCCTGGAAACAGAATTTCTGGAATCTGCTTTCTCACCAAGTTCTGTAGTTGAAATATATATATAAATATATATTCACTCACATTCACACTTTTTCTAACATGCCGAGTGATAATGTATTTACCTTTTATCTGAGACCCTTTTCTCTAAAAGATCTTTTTTTTGCACCTTCAGGCAACACAACCACCTACAGATAGAGGAAAAAAACCAGCTAGCTTCTCCTTCATCTTTTTGTCTTTAGAAAAATAGTAGCTGTAGAAAAGTAACCAGGGGGCTAAGCCCTGGAAGCTAGTTCTCCCAGTTATCCTTGTTGATGGGACCGGCCAGGTAGTAGGGTCTGTCGCCTGGTGATGTTAATTACCAGTGAAGCATTCAGATTGTTTCTCTTTTCTCAGCTCTCAGCTTGATACCCCAAGTTTAGGCATGGAGTCAGGAAGCGTTTAATGGAAAGTTAATCAGCCACATCTTCCCAGTTCAGAAGTTATTTCCTGGCATTGGCCCAGGCTGCAACACCAAGATACCCTTGTAAAGTGGAGAAGCAGTTATTTACAGAATGCTTCCCCAGGGGCTGAAAGAGGTAATGACCCTCAACTGGGACCTTCTGGAGTCCTCTGGAGCCACTTACACAACACAGAGAATGGCCCGACTCATCATGTTTTTAAGATTTGTTTATTCTTGCCAATGAAAGAAGCAAATAAGCAAGGAGGTGCTCACTTTGAGAGGCGAATAAGGAGGATTTTTAAATTCTTTTAGACATGGTAAACCCTGTCTATATTTGTAAAAAATGATGTATAAAAGAGACACGGGTAATCCTGATTTGCCTGTTAATATGTCTACTCTTAATCAATAACTGCTTGATAGTGTCTGGGTGAGGTTTCTGAAACTGATTTGCTAAGATAATTTGCATTTATTAATTTGAGGTCTTGCACAGCAGCTAGTATTTGAGGGAATAAACAGAGGGAACCCTGCTTGCCATATGGACAAGATTCTGGTGGCTTTGTGGAGAATGGTGGTCTTCATGGGAGGTTAGTTTCCAATTATCTGGCTGATGAAGCTGCCTTTGGAAGATGATATCACGTGATGGGAAGGGTCAAGCTTTGGAGCCCATCTGGTCTGAAGTTCCTCTGCGTCTGGTCAGATCACTTCCCTTCTTTTAACCATGCAGTGATCTATGTGTAAGTTAGACAAAATGGTAACCACTCCACAACATGTTGATTATTTCTGAACACTTAAAAAATGAATCTATGTACCCATCCCTAGCTACTCAGCTTCTATTATCACTCTTATCCCTTACCGAGGGATGATTTCTTCCTATTCCTCAGTCACTTTTTCCATTGTGTCCTCTCTCTATTCATTTTCTATGTTATAACTGGATATAATGGTGGAAATTTTGAAAGAGAATCTATGTACCTTCAATGGCTTAAAAATTTGTAATGGAACATCCATACTTTGAACTTTTGAGGCCATTATTTCTCATCTAGTTCCTTCTAACTTCATCTGCTACAACTCTTAAGTTTTGCCACTCATCTACACATCCTTCAGGTGTGACAGGCAAATGTCTAAAACAAGCCTTCACATTAGCTATGTTCTCTTCTCAAAAGCCCCTCCATTGTGTGCTTTCTAGTTACCTGCTTCTTAGTTTTTCAGTAGCAGAGTAAAAATCACTTCTTTGGGACATTTTCTCTTGTCCATGAAGATTTTAAGTGTTATTTGGGTGCTCCAGTATCACCCTGTATGTATAATTTCTAGATATAGTTTCCCCATTAGAATTTATTGTGAAGTTCTGTCATTGTCTTTCTTAGAGCCTAGGAAGTTTCAGGTTAGCTGCATGTTGTGTTAAAGAAAGGACAGACTTGATCAGTATCGTTATCTATAAATAGGAGATAGTCCTTAGTTGTTGTATACATTAAATAAGTTATTAAATGAAGACTATCTCTCATCAATACCCGATAGACTCATTTCCCTTATATCCTCAGAATATCAGCTTATGTTGAGTAATTCATTCATTCAAAAATATGTGAATTGTTAACCATGTCAGCACCGGACACATAGAAACGATAGTACCCAGCCCTTCTTCAGAGGGGACAGAAAATGGAAAGTTTTCGCACTGGGAGCACGACCTGTTGATTAACTTTGTCAGATTCTCTGAAGACTCTTTTGATACTGAGGAAGCTAAAGCTCGTGGTTAAATATGAGTTTGAAATTCAGATATCTACTTAAGAACAAATTTACATTCTAGGAAAGCGAAATCTTCATGGGGACCTTTGGCTCTTGTCTCATCAAATGCATAAACCTAATCATAACGGAGCTGAGAAAACATGTGAGAGTCCTGCCAGGACAGTTAGCCTGCTCCTAAAGGACTCATGGGTACCCTCTGCCTCCTTGCGGGCTCTTCATGTTTTGCACTGAATGTGCAGGCTCATCCCGTGTGAGGAAATGTCATAGGTGAGATCCTAACCCCATGATGTGTCATTTCTGGGAAGTGGGGTCTTTCACAGACGATTGGTCAGGAAGGTGGAGCCCTGATGAGCAGAATTAGTTCCCTTAGAAGAAGAGACAAGAGGTCTGTTTTTCTGTTTTCCATCATGTGAGGACATAATGAGAAAACAACTACCTGAAAATCAGAAAGAGGATTCTTTCTAGACCCAATATCTCCCAGTGCTTTGAGCTTGGATTTTGCAGCCTCTGAGAAATACATCTCCACTTTTTAAACTACACAGTCTATGGCAGTTGGTTGCATCTGCTCATACTCAGGAGTGCACATTTCAAAGAACAACCACAGGGAAACAGTTGTATTCATTGGGGTCCCAACCATTTGTGGTGACCTGGATAATCATTTGCAGTACAGACACTGCATCACTCCAGTTGAGTCAGCCTTACTGGTGTTCTTCCTGCAAATAACATACAAGAAACAGAACTATTATTGAACCCTCAGGACTTATCGAGTAACGTTTAAGTCCTAGAGACCATGGTAAGACCTGGAATTTTTACTCATGGTAAAGTCCATGGAATGTTTTTGTCCTTCACAGAGCTTTTAGTTTAGCATAAGAGACCAATACTTTTAAAAAATTATAAAATATTTATTTAAGCAGTACTTTAAAAGATGTGGTGTCAGACCCCTGAAGGGTGTTAAGCAAAATGGAACACACTCACGAAATCTCATCTGTTCTGCGGATAGAGAAAAATCAAAGGTGCATATCTGAGGAATCCTGCTTAAAAAGTGAGTTCTAAATGTTGGAAAACATTACTGAGGAAAATGAGTGTGGAAGCCAGGAGATCAGGTGGTGAAAACATAAGCCACAGTCGAAGGGCTGGAAAACATCAAAAGAGCTTGGGGAAAAAAAAGACTGTGTTGTCAACAGGGTAAAGACACTGGTAAATTGGTTCCAGATGAGGACAGTAGAAAAAGCAGGAGGCTAACCGTACTGAGCTAGGTCATTTTCATTTTTTTTCAGGTCCTGTGCTAAGTACTTTATAGACACTATCCAATTTAATAGTATCATGTACACATTAGTATAGTTCTTTGACAATTGAAGGAACCAAAATTAGGGAAGCTAACGTAATTAGTCTGAGATTTTCGCAGGTAGGAAGTGTGACTGGGATTCAAGTCAAAGTCTACGTGATTGCACAGTTATGGTCGTAATTAGTATTGTTATTAAACTATTACACTGCCTGTATGCATAGCATACATTAATAGTGATTTTTGCTTGTTCACAAATCCTGGGACCCAATGAAGAAAATTTCTCCATTTATTGAACTCACAGCATATCTGTTTTCTCTTCTTTTACCATAGGTAGCTTATCAGAATAAGCTGCTCTGGAACCATAAGGAGAGGGGATGCCTGGTGGTCCCAGGCCTGGAGCTCAGGGCCAGAGTGGATGCTCCACAAGGACAGGAAACCCTTCCACCCACAGAGACTTCACCCCATTGTAAGTTTGTGAATTCTAATGTTATGTCTCTCTGAAATGGAATGACTGCCTTTCAAAGCCTCTCTCAGGACATTACATCCACAATTCTTTTCCTACATTCAAATATGGTTTTCTCTAGCTGGAAAAATCATCTCATTAAAGGAAAAAAAATCTACCTTACCCCCACTACTCTGAGATACAAGCCATCTCCCTGGTCACAGTCACTTTTTTTTCCTTTCTTCTTTAAGTACAGGATCCAACATTTACCCAAATGAAAATAGCTGTGTCTAGAATAATAATTTCTGTAGGCTCAGCAAGACTATTCTTCACTGCATTTGTGTTTGAAATTGCAGTCAAACTGAGTGAACTCCTCCCTCCCCTCTGACACAGCTACCGCAGACTGTGAATTATGGCTAAATACCAAAGTGTTATTTAATGCAGCCAGGAAGGAAAGGCGTGAATGATAGCCCATTACCACTTTATACTCAGAGATCAGTCTCCAAGTTTAAGGCTATTCTCTTAGCCATGCCAGAAAAATTACATAGGTCCCTACTAGTTTTTATAACCCCCTAAGGCAATGCTGGAGCAATAAACATGATGAGAATGAAGGCTTGCCATGTGTATCTAACAGCACCAAGGAGAGCGTCGAGCTCAGTGCTAACACAGCATCCCGCTCATGTTAAAAGTTTAACGCATTACCTAGTTCTCTCTAAGGGCACCACATTGTGGGCGTGAGCAGACTGTGTGCACACAGCTCCCGGTCCCCTGATATGCCCGGGTGTACAACTGAGCTTACACTATCAGTCCAAGAGGGAAAGGGAGCCACACAGTAAACTCAGAATGCTGCAGTATAGGGCTGGTGTACGTGATCTCTGAACAAGCAATGTTCTGCATAGACTGAGACTTAAATATGTGCCATGCCCTGTGCTACCTTCTATGAGCTTCTCACCTCTCACTCCTTTCCAATAGTCTTTAAGCATCTGTGAGGGCTGGCTGGAGCTAGGTGAGCCCTGTCTTCCACAGTTGATTGGGCTTTCAGTGAGCACTTGCCTCAAAGGAAGTCAACCTAGATGTTCATGGGTGAACCGCAGTAAAAGTTCTGACTAATAGGTCTGATGAGCATTCAGATTGTCTTCTTGTAAAATCGTAATTTGAGATGTGTAGATAATTGGGAGATGGGTAGAAGTGTATCTGTGCAGATACAGAATGCATAGCTTCTTGAGGAGAATCACACAGAGAGTAGTAACAAACTCTTGCTGTGAGGGTGTACAAGAGTTGCTGCAGACAAGAGAAGAGATCTATTTTGTGCAGATCGAACTTTTAGATGCTAATCAAGGTTTTCATCTCTAATATGTGACTGTGTAGGTTTCCTTGTATTTGTATACTTTTGATTATGCACCTTTTCTCGAGATCTTGTAAGCTTACACCTGTGGGGCCATCTACAGTTTTTATGAAACTTTGAAACAGAGTGAGGCCTTGTTTCAATTATATTTTGTGGGATATTTGCAGTTACTTTACTCTAAAATTCTTGGACCCATTCACTACATACCCATCACCTCTGTAGCTTGAGGATGGTTTTCGAATTTTTCTAAACAAAACAATAGAACTAACCCTAGAAAATACGTGGGAAGACATAGCCAAAGCAGACATACTGAGATAGCGGTATTTCTAAGTCTTTGCTGTGGAATTTCAGTAGGGTGTTTTGTCATTCAGGACTCTATTTTTGCATAGTAAGTAGAGGGATAATCTGTCTCCACCATGACAAGATACAGTTTCCTATTAGTAAAGGGGATCTCTCTTCTTTTGTGTGCTTCCCATGAGCTGAAGGGTATAGCAAAGCCTGGTACTGGGAAGGACAAATACAGACAGAAAAATGTCATTGTACGTGGGAAAGCATTAGGATAGTTTCCTGTTAACTATGGGGTTACATTCCAAGACCTCAGTAGATATCTGAATCTGCACATGTACCAAAGCCTACATCTATTATTATGTTTTTTCCTATGCACACATACTTAATGGTGAAGTTTTGTTGCACAGTAAAAAATGAACAAAAGTAACAGACACAAAATAGAACAAATACAACAAATATTGCACTAAAATTATTTTAAATATATGAATTATTTCTCCAATTTCTCATTTGGTATTTTTGGACCATGGTGCACCTCAGGTAACTAAAGTACTAGGAAGCATAAACTGACTAAAAAGTACAATATTATATAACGGAATAACGCCCTCCTTTCTCTCCCTCCTCCTCCTTCTTCTCCTTCCTTTTTTGTTCTCTTAGGAGAAGAATAGCAGAGGAAATACTAGCCCTAAATCCAGCTTGAATTGCATCCTATCCTTGCTGCTCACTTCATATGCATAAGTCTCTAGTATAAGGAAAACAACTCTCTAATAAGAGAGAGCTATTCTGTGGGAATCTCCTTGTAAGAAAGATCAAAGTGAGAAATGCTATTATTCACTCTGGGCAGCAGATCAATCGAGCAATGGGAGGTAAAAGATGTCACGTGCAAAAGCTACCCCTTAAGTTACTAGAAGGTAGTTTCTGGAAATTGTAAATGTGACCTTAAGTGGATCAAGGGTCTTTGCACATTTCATTACATTTAGCATTTGGGATAGAGTGTCGGTTCTGGATTGCTGGGTTGAGTTTCAATTTAATCCCATGTGTGTGAAGATGATGCAATGGGCCCTGAAGCGGGATAGGAGTGTTGCAACCGTGAGTCTAGCGGCAGCCATTAGAAGTGGAAAGAAGCAAGGAAGGGGATTTTCTGCTAGGGTCTCCAAGGAAGTACAGCCCTCCAGACAACTTCCTGGGGCACGGTGAATCTGACTGAATTTCTGGTCTCCCGAACTTAGAGAAAATAGATTTACGATGTTTTAAACCACCGGCTTTCAGATCATTTGTCAGAACCCTCACAGGAAACTACTAAACCAGGAGGAAACATCCAGAAAGATGGATACCAAAGGCAGTAGAAACTAAAGTGGGGACCCTACTTATGCCCACCAGGGACTCTGTGGATAAAAGTAATCTCAGTTCAGATGGGCGGAAGGGCAAACATCCCTTAACTCCCGGTAATACTTGGGAGAATATGTGAAAAGCCTATTTTTTTTAATTAGTCAACAACTATAATTTTGAACATGCATGTTTATTTCTTTCTGTATACACATATGTGCATATACATACATATGTACATTTTAGATATACAGTACAGTTACATTCATCACTAGGACCTTGTACCTTTACATCATGTATTTTGGTTCTTATTTCTTCTCCATTTTCCTGCCCTCCCTTCCCCTGTCCACCCTTGCCTATTTACAGACTTTGTTTCCATTTTTTTTCCTTTTCTCTTATTTTTTCTCTTCCCTTTTCACCTTTCCTCTATCCCTCCCATTATGCCCAATACCTTTAGACCTTTTCTTCCTATTACAAAATATCAATTATACATCTTGACCCTTATTTACGCTTTTAGTTTATCACACCAGAGAAATTATATGGTATCTACAAATGTTTGTCTTATTAATTTCAATGAAGAGTGTGTCCTCAAGGAACATCCACTTAGCTATAAATGTCTCTTGTTTCTCCTTCTTAATAGCTGAGTAGTACTCCATTTTATTAAAACAAACCGACCAACAAACCAACACATCTTCTTTATCCAGTCTCCAGTTCATGGGCAATTAGGCTGATTCCAAGTTTTAGCTATTACAAACTGTGCCACTATAAACATGGGTGCGCATGTAAAACTGTGGTATGATTCTTTTAAATCTTTTGGGAAGATACCCAGCAGGGGAATAACTGGGTCAAATGGGACCTCTAATCCTAGTTCTCTGAGGTATCTCCATATTGATTTCCACAGTGGCTGCACCAGTCTTCACTCCCACCAACAACAGAGAAGTGTTTTTTTTTCTCCCTGCACCCTAATCAGCATTTGTTATCTGCTGATTTCTTGATAGCAGCCATTTTTTTCTGGGGTGAGGTGAAATCTCAGTGTTGTTTTCATCTGCATCTCTCAAATGACCAGTGATGTGGAACATTTTTTCATATGTTTATTTGCTGCTTTTAGTTCTTTGTCTGGAAATGTCTGTTCATTTCAGCTGTCCCTTTTTGAATTGGGTCTCAATCGATTGGATGGTTGGCTCTTTTGTGAAGATGAGGTAGCTGGGTATGTCTGGAGTTGTTTCTGCATCTTCTAATCTATTCTGCTAATCCTCAGGTCTGTTTCTGTGCCAGTACCATGCTGTTTTTATCACAGTGGCTTTGTAGTATAGTTTCAAGTCGGGGACTGTGGTACCCTCTGCTATGTTTCTGTTGCCTAGAATGGCTTTTGCTATTCTAGGTCTCTTATGGTTCCAAATGAATTTTGATTTTGTTTTTTTCTAGTTCAGTGAAATATACTGTTGGCTTCTCAATTGGGATTGCATTGAATCTGTATAGCAGTTTTGGGAGTATGGCCATTTTCACTATATTGCTTCTTTCTACCCAGGAACAAGGGATGTTTTTCCATTTTCTTATATCCTCTTTGATCTCTTTTTCAGAGTGTTGTAGTTCTCAATGTACAGGTCTTTTGCTTCCTTCATTAGATTGATTCCTAGATATCTCATTGTTTTGGAAGCTTTTGTGAAAAGGGTTGCTTTCTTAAATTCTCTCTCAGTGATTCTGTTATTTGTGTACACAAAGGCTATTGATTTTCTAGTATATCCAGGTACTCTACAAAATCTGTCAATAAAGTCTAGAAGTCTTTTGGTGGAGTTTCTTTGGTCTTTTATGTAGAGTATCATATCATCAGCAAAAAATGTCAATTTATCTTCTTCCTTTCCTATTTTTATTGCTTTTATTTTTTTCTCTTGTCTATTTGCTGTAGCTAATGTTCCCAAAACTATATTGAACAGGAGTGGTGAGAGTGGACATCCTTATTCCTGATTTTAGGGTGAAGGTTTTCAGTTTTTGACCATTTAGTAAGATGTTAGCTGTTGGCTTTTCATGGGTAGCCTTATCAAGTTGAGATAAATACCATCTATTCCAA